GTTCATAAATAAAGTCGATAAAATGTTTGTAAAGCTAATTACATCTTATAATAATAGTAATTCATCAATATACGACATTCTTGGTCCTTCGAGCCGGATATGAACCAGCGACCTATGCCTTAACTGTAATTGTGCCAAGTATACTTTTCCGTAAACGAAATTTTCGTTAATTTTAGTTTACGATTTCTGATATTGAAGAAGATCACTTTTAATTATTGTGTATGTATTATATGACGTAAAAAAAACATGACGTCGTGTCAGCAGGGGGCGCGCACGCAGGGCGTTCGGGTCATGACCTCGCGCTCCCGATTTAGCAGCTCTGCGGTTGCGCTGCCAACAAACACTTGTCGTTATGACAAATAAAGATACGACTCATTCTTTATTTTATTAATATGAATTGACGCACTATTTTCTTGACCTATAATAGCGAACAGAACTTTTTCTTAATTAAATTATGGAGATCAAAAAATTATTGGGCGACGATATTGAGCGTGAGAATTCATATACCAGAACGAGAATACCAGTTTAGGAAGAAGGAATTGTTGTGTGTGGTATTTTTATAAGAAAAACTCAGTAAATAAAATAAACGAAAAACAAAACCGTTATCGGGTTTACTATTCCTTTTTATTTGTAACAACTTTGTCACTAGAAAGTGAATATAATATACATAGTCTTACCATAAATATTGTTAAATATTAAAAATAAAATCATTAATCATTATTTTTCAGTAAAGCATTATGAGTGCAAAATTGGAACAAAATTTCATCTTTATCGAAAGTTTCATTTAAATATTTGTAAATTATTTATTTGGGTGGATTGCCTGAACATTGATGAAAATATGCAGTAGCGAAGAAGTAACAAGTTAAAAAAATTCATCAGTCCTATAAGGAGCCGGGTAGTTCAGTGGTTAGAGCAGTCGCCCGGATTACGAAAGGTGTTTTTAGTGAAAGTGGATTTTTAAGAATTTTTCGTTAAGGATAATTTTCAGTACAGCATTGTCAATGCAAAATTTATGAATATATTAAACAAATATTGTTACATAGCATTTTTTTTAAATGTAACATTTATTTTCATTACAATGTGATAGTTTGATACATTATTATAAAGTCAATAAAATATATAAAGCCAATTATCAATAGACACACGCACTCTTTCTATGGGAAAGTCCATCGTATGGTTTATTCTAGGGACTTTAAATTATCATGGCGTTTAGAGCAAGGGTTATTGTCAAAAACTAATCATAAATCATAATCCAGCGGCTTAAGATCTGGACTAGATGCCAGTGTTGCGCTCTGGCGAAGACCGGGACGCTCATTTCTAAACAAGATTGAGTGGATCGAGCTTTATGATCTGGCGCCGGTTCTTGCTGGAAGGACCATTTTTGGTTATTGAATATGGTGTTATTAAGGGGCTTAACTACCTTCTCCAGAATGGTATCTTGATACACTTGTGCCGATTTTCTGATGCTTTTCTCACAAAAATATGGCCACGTTGTACTTTGTTGACTAATCCGGAAGCTTCTTCAGAGCTTTGAACGTAAATACAGTTATTTCGTTTGTTGAAATATTACTCAATTGAAAAAGTTTTCCGTTCCGTAAACAAAAGTTTTCTGTAACCTCCCTATTCTTTTTTAAATAATCTGTTAAGAAGTGACCAGTGCATCTCTTATAGGCAAGTCCTAAGTCATCTTTTAAAATACGCGACATAGCTAGCTACTGTCTTCATCTCCAGAGTTATTTTTTTTTTCTTTCGGACAGGATTTCTTCAAATTTTTTCCCTTACTGCTTTGATCGCCATTTTCGTACGAAAACTACATGGATTGACAGATCTGTTTCTGTCACAAACAGAGGAGGTTTCATTGTACCTATCAATAGCCCGGTATACAAACATTTGACTAATACCAAGCGTATGGAGGGTTTTGAAAATAGTGTTCAACTCCATACCTACTTTATGTAACGCAATCACAAAGACGCGGTTCTCTTTATCACCCCACTCTATTAATATTTTTAATGTATCGTCACGAAAAGTAACATTTTGTTTATTTTTAATTCCAACAGTATTTATGACCAAACTAAATATTATATTTCAATTAATTTTGCAGTCACAATGCAAATCCACCTGGTCCCAGGCACCCGGAGATGGGAATCGAACCCACGACAAAATTCTTATCTTTATCGAAAGTTTCAATATTTGTAACAATATTTCTTTCGGCTGTTTGGGTGGATGCCTGAACATTGATGAGAATACGCTCTGTAGTAGCGAAAAGTAACAAGTGCTTGAAAGATTCGTCAGTCCTGTTAGGTCCTGGGTAGCTCAGTGGTTAGAGCAATCGCCCGGATAGCGAAAGATCGACCAAGTGGATTGTTTAAGCATTTTGTATTAAGAATAGATTTTTAACTGTTTTCTTCTAATTAATGGCAAGAAAAAGGATTACCTTTGACTTAGTTAAGATGTATACTTAAAAATTGCTAGTTTTATCTTTTACCGTGTCTAAAACATATCGACATCAGGTCCTGATAGCGTTCTTTGTTCTTTATCAGTGTTATCAGCTTATCTCGTCACGACAACGTATGACCGGTCGTCCGTCTCGAACTGAATGCCCTTTCGTGTCGTTTGGTACATAGTACAATGAAAAGCAGGAAAATTAGAAACGTAACAAACATTTAACACCCGACTCACCTCGACTTTGTTGCAGTCAAGTTGTACTAATATGTCCAATAAATGATTTCTAAATCAACTCTAGTAGCCACTCAGCTAGATATACAAATAGTTGTATATTTGTGTATGATAGAAATGAGACAATTTTTGTAAAATTGGATTAATGAGTCATTTAGTGAAGCTATATATCGAATAAATACACCGTATGACATTTTTCCAAGTGCGTTAAAGAATATGAAAAAAATATGTTATCCAAAAAAAGACTTTATTTGTATGTTGGTATTTTTTTTATTTATTTAAAAAGGTTTGATTTGTATGTTTTGATTTTTAAATACTCATACTACAGCAGTGTTAATGGGAGACGACCTCCCAAATACCTATGAGATTATTCCATATTAAATACCACGAAACCACGAATTGTACTCATTTGAAATAAACAAATATCATTTGTATTTCATTATTAAATGCAGCTTTATAATGCCATACCTACGTTTAATTCTTGTAACAGAATCATAAATAAATAATTAATTTAAAAATAAAACTAATATTTTAAAAATGTGCTTAATTAAACGAAATACTTGAAAAAGCGTAGTGTTAAAGGTGTTTCTTAGCAGTAACGAAGATTTTATTATTTATTATTAATATATCTTTAATAATAATTTAATAGCGCAATTGACAGCCGCGTTAAAATTAACATGAAGTTTATAATGTATACACGGACTTTTTATATTTACTTATGACATTTCTTAATAAAACAAGACATAATCATATTTTATCTTATTAATTTATTCAGTGGTTATATTTCTCTTGAAAATAGACTAAACTCACCTTTATGCACAGACTTCCGTACTAGCAGCTACCGTTATACGAATGATTCGTATTGAAATAAAGTACTGTCGCCTAATAAGGCCCTCAGTTTTTGACCGCTGAAATGCTTAAAACCATCTGATACAACTTCAAATAACATAATTCTGTCCATGAAGATTTGTCAGTGTGGGACTGTTATTGAGATATATAACTAGTTGGTTTTATATAGTAGTAGTATTCCAGCTGTTGGAAACATTTTTACTAACCTTGAACAAGGCATAGCTTAAGTAGGAAACGCCTAATATTAGGAATAGACTAAGCAGATTAATTCCAAATAAATATTATGTCATATACATTAATGCCTAGCGCCGCATAACAAATATCAAAACCTTTGACATCGCTTAATTTCGTTAGGTGGTTCCTAGTCAACGGTGAAATACATTTTTACTTTAGGCGATTCCTAAATATTTAAGCGACAGATTTGGGCGCATCCTAAGTTTAGTGAAAACGGGCATTAATACCATACCCAAAGCACAAGGCATTCAATTATTTAACGCAAAGAAAAATACGTGATTCCTCAATGTAAACTCACAATGTTATCAAATAAAATACTCGTAACATATGACACGTAGGTTCACTGCATGTTCTTCAGGCGGTGACATCGTTTCCAGTAGAGTGTCGCAGAAGGTTAAGAGCCCGTTATCGGCTCTTATCAACGCTAAGTACTTACCTAGTGCCGCCCCATTTGCTCGTTTGACCTGACACTTCAGTTATCAGTTGAACGTCGCGATAACAACTGCGCTGTCACGTCTCTACCTGTTCAATTATACCATTACAACCTGGTTTAAAAGTCAACCTGGATTCTCCATATGTTGCTGCAAGTGCGTCGATCAGTTCGTGATAGGCTTTCTTCACATCTATATATTCTTACTAAAGCTTGCCTTAAGGAACGGTAATATCATTGGTGGTACAAAAAATCTGCTTTGTTCTAATACCTTTCCTCAGTAATTGCTCTTTAAAAATCATATCAATCAATGTATCATGTTAACTTAGATAAATAAAGTTGTATATACACTTACAATAGGCATCTATTGTAACTTATAAGACTGTTTTTTTGTTTTAATAGATGATCTCCATTATTTCATTTTAATGTTATATTAGTTCTGTCTTAAATAATAATAAAAGCATTGTTATGTTACTTTCTAAGTACGAATCTATTTGAATGATTGATCTGGGATTGTAATACAACACAATATTATTATCGCATTGCTATGAGTAATTCCTTATCTGGCAGATCGATTCAATGGTAACGTGAATTGGAATTTATTCACTAAGACATTAGGTACTAATTCGGTTTTTGCGCCGGTGGAAGAAAATTTTACAAATGATGTTGAGTTTTCATTAGCTAAGTGAAACTTATTTAAGGTATTGTTAATAATCTTCTAATACTATTAAGGCTTATAATATTGTTCAGGTATTGCAAATAAACGATAAAGAATTATCCTAAAGATAAATTTTAAATTTGAAGAAATCTAATGGTATTATTGAAAAGTGAGTGGAAAGGAGATCACAAGATGCACTCACCAGACTTTGCTGAAGACGATAAAAAAGTGGGGAGTGTTGTAAGTGATGAAAGTGAAGTGAAAAGTGATAATGAAACGAAGGAGGTCGGTGATGGTGATGAGCCTACAAAAACAGTGAACCTAAGGGAGAACCGCCTGACCAGTATCATTGATCAGCTACGGTGCCAGAATAAGATGAAAGGTAAGTATCTTTATGTTTAGGTATGTCGCTGGGACATAACATAAAATATCTGACCACCGAAATCCTGGTCATATTAAATAACGGGGAAAATACAATTGCAAATCAATTTCAGCATTTTCCTGAACAAATCAGTCAGATTGTATGACGGGTATTAACACGATAGATTTTGATAGTTAGGTTTTTCACCTACCTATATTTCTCCTCGATTCGACCAGGTTACACCGGCCGTAACCTACGTATGTGGGGGAGGGAGCTTTCCATCTCGCACTATGGCCGCGGGGTCGTGGGTGCCCGACTGCAACACACACCGTTCGGTGTGTGGGGTGATCGGGCGCCGGCGGGGCCGCGGTCAAGGGCGCGACTAAGGAACGGTGTACCGGGGAGGAGGGAAGGTCACCGGGGCTATCGGGGAGAGGGGCATATGTGGGGCAACCCATATGTGTCCCCACGAGACAGTCGTTAGGGCAGGAGGGACACAGTTGCGTGTCTCCTGTCCTTGACGAGGGGCAGTCTGGTGGTTTGCGCGCCACCGGGCATTGCACGCCCCTTGTCCTGTCTGGGGGGGTGAGACTCGAATGTTCCTGAGCCTCCCCCCTAACCCGAGAGGGAACCTGCCCCGTCTGGGCGGGTTCTTTGGAGGCGGTACTGTGGTGAATGGCTCTGCCGATCCCATGGCCGTCTTCCTAGTGAGGGACATCGGCAGGTTTTAGTGGGTAGGCCCCGGCCGTCTGCCGGGGAGAGCCCCACATCACCCGTGGACCACGCGCTGTGGGAAGCGGGTATGCAATTTCATGCATTTCCTTCCGTCAAAAAAAAAAAAAAAAAAAAAAAGGTTACACCGGCCGTGGTCACGGGCTAACCAAGCCCGGTCTATCGCGTTAATACCCGTCTTATACAATCTAATATAATGCAAGTGAAAGTTTAAAAGTTTACAAATCAGTCATATGTTGATATCACTAGAATTTTAGTAAATTACTTTAGTGACATAATGAAAATTATGTCACTTGAATGTGTGTCTTGAAATAGTTATTTGTTTTAATGAGTCATTTATTTCTTACTTCCAGATTGTTGTATTTACTTTGTATTGACCTATAATATTTTTCGTAATAATAGGAACTTCTAAATGCACCATAGAATACTTCATTTTTCTATTCTGTATTCTGTATATTATGTTAAGTTTGTCTAGATTAAATTGCTTTTTAGCAATAAGCTCGCCAATTGTACTGTCTGTTACATTACATTTACTTATGGTGTGTACAATAAAGATTCTTTCATTCATTCATTAATTACCTATACTACTTAATGTAGGTGTAACAATTCAGTTAAGTTGGTAAGATTTTCATAAAAGCAAGTTGATATAATAACTTTTGAAGTAGGTTTTATTTTATTGAATCTCCAATACTGCGACAGCGCTGTGTTCGATGCTGTAGTTTTAACAGAATGACACTGTCAGTTAAAATAATAAAAACAATAAATTATTCTGGCATAAACAATTATTTTGAAGTCATGTTGAAAAATTAAAATTGGTTCTGCAAATGATAAAAAATAATGATAGATAAAGGTAAATGAACAAAAATACAATTTAATCCTAAATATATTAAACGCTTGATCTTATCTGCTCATTGACCAAAATAAAGCTTACAAGATACTTAATTCTAAAGTACAAAAAACACGTGTCAGCGAGTGAGATACTGGAAAATCACTTAATATGCAAAAGACAAATAGTTTGTTGCATGTTATAAATCTTGACGAGCCAGCTGGTTGTTTGGACCGTAACCGAGACAAAAGTCGCAACCTTTGCTTCGATCTTATCAACATCGCATGTAAATCGCTTAGTGGATTTATAAAAGTAATTACTACCAGACAAAGGGCACGAGCCAGGCATCTGCACTCCTCTATAATTGTCGTTGATACATTAGACTTTAGATTTTAACTGTACGTGTTAAGGATGAAGCTTATTTCGAGATTGCGGTACGATTAGAAGCTCTGCTCGCTGAATGTCTTAAATCTTAGCAACAATAGCATTGATGGCAGATAGTGGGTATCGTGAGATCAAGTTTCCAGCTCGCTCTGAATTAGTTTGTTTGGTGTGTTGCTCGGTTCGGCAAACATGTGCTATTCTGCAGAGGTTAGTCTTTAATTGACCATTTGCGATTAATAAACATCATGTCTCTCGGATACCTGACATAATGTTGATACTGGGCAGTTCTCTTATAATGCTATATTGATATTTATCTTCTAAAATACTTTAAAACATCGTCAGTCGTAGGTCTCTTCCCGGGCACCCCAGATTGTCGAAGTTTTTAAGTGTTATTTTTTATATGATGTTTATATTTATGATACCAAATTAAATGATCGATTTCAAAGCGTCTCTGAGGTCCCAAGTTTTAATTTATGAGCAAACTAAATGTAGGAAATGAGCTTCTTTCATCAATCGTCAATGATTTGCGCAATTAGACCATTGTTGTTTCCTTTTTTTTATTAAAAGTGTTATGTTAAAGAAGAGTTCGATATACATTTTTAACAGAGTTCATAGAGTTCTTCTATACACATCTCTTCTTCGTCTGTTCTTCTTCTTGTTTACTGGAAAACTGCCACTGTTGTTTGTTTATTATCTTTTTTGGTTAATATATGTAATTGTTGAATTATGTTCTTAAAATATACCTACTTTTACTATTTGCTTAAAAGTTTCATTGTCTTCTGTCCTGGTTTTTGTATTGCAAATCGCTTTTATATAGTCCAAGAATTATTACGAGTATATTAGTAAAATATATTCTCTAGCTTTCATTTAACTGCAGTTCCCATTTTACCTTGTTACACGGTATTTAAGCGGAGTTGGCATCAACGTGATATTTCTTACAAAAATATGTAGTAGAGTGATGACTCTATTTGCTGCTTCTAGCTAATTTCACCTGATCTAGATTAAAACGCAGAAAGTCATAGGTGGAATATATTTCTATCTCTGTCTAATCAAGATCATATCTTAATTATTAGAATATATTAGTTTTGAGAAAATTACGTTTATTTGAACCTAACTGTTATTCATGTAATTGATTTTAAACTAAAACTAACTCGTTGACTTTAAAAACGGAAGGTACTTTGACGTAGCGACGCCGAAGTGGGTCAGGGATTTTTTAGAAAGAAAGATTCTTTTCTTCAATCTTCTCATATTCATAGATAAAATTAAATTAATTATATAATAACTAGCTACACTAAGATCCTATTCCTGAGCCGGTTCAAACTAAATTACAGGATTTCCAGGGAGTTTCAACCAGCAAGAAAAAAGAACGCGAATTCGAATGTGAAAAATCGTTCAAAGAGTAAATCCATAGTAATGTGCTCGAACGTTACAGTAGCTACCTGCTGTGAGAGTACATGAACATAAGTCAAAGTCGGCCTTATTATAACGTGGGCATTAATTGCCGCTAGAACCCTAGTATAATACACCGAGAAAGTGTCCCTTTTATTTATATAAATAAATGGATTGCGTTATAAATATGATATTATATATTGAAGTATTTTTAATCTCTGCGAATCACTAAAATAATTTTTGCAGTGATAATGACATAACAGATATTTGTGGTTTGAAGATAATAAAGTTAAATTATAATTAGCAATTTCTTTTCTTGAGCATTTTATTACGCTCTGTAGTGTGAAAGACATCTATAAATAGGTTGGCACAATGTTATTATTACGCAACTTTGAAATTTGCTTCATTCAAAGCTCTTCAAATTAAAATGTGAATATGTTTGTAACTTGTTAGCTTAATAAAAAAAAACAAAAACTTTCAATCAATAATAAATCTATTTTCGAGAAAGAAAATATCGACTCGCAAAATCAAAATTGTTCTTTAGAGCAGAAAAACTTTTATTTTATTCGATAAATAATTCCTATAAACAACAGGTAACAAATAAGGTGTTCTTTAATCAATTTATACGGAAAGAAAATATATTTTTTGTATAAATATGAAGATTTTCCGTGTTTGCTTTCCAGCGTCGATATATTTAAATTCGAGAAATCGTGAATTTATCATTGTTTTTATTATTTTCAGCAATTTATTCGATGGTAATATCGCACACCTAGATCTAAACTGAGACAACTCAAAAATTTGAGTGAGTTTTGACTTAGTACAATATTTAAATTCTCGATGATCATACGCATCTATCCAACATAACAGATTCAATAAAGGTTTGGGGATGAGCCGCTAGATAACTTTAGCTTTCTTTTTTCGAATCAACAGTGGTCGCACTCCTGCCACGTAAACAAATGTATTGTCAGACCTCCACATTAGTTTTTTGAGTTGTCTTAGTTTAGATCTAGGTGTGCGATATATTTTTAATATATATTTAAGAATATTCAATCAATCCAGTCAATTAGGGTATCTGTTAAAGGCATGCTTAGCTAATGAATGGATAAATTTGCAACTGCGACCGCTGCCGGCGTGATAGCGTTAATCAATGCGAGTGCAAGGGTTGCTAACCGTAAATAATAATATTGTATTATATATTGGACCTGCGTAGGTACTCTATTTTCGTTAATTCTTAAGGACATCAAAAAAATAATGAAATGAATATATTTATCAAATTATTTCTTAATGCAAGTTTTGTTTAAAATTGCGTTAAGAATTATGTATGAAAACGTTATCTTCTGTCTTGTTTCGTAAATCATGGAAAGAATGAATGTTGCGCGATTTGATGTCTAATTGGTTTGCGAGTTTATGGGTTTTAGAGACGACTTCTGATTTGGACCGTTTTTTTATAATATTAAATAACATCTCATACCTTGCTCGGTTTCAAGATGAGTAGCTAAAGCCCCCGTATTATGGAGTATCTAAGACAACGATGATACCACAATACTCAGACCCGAGACAATCTAGAAAAGTTCATTTTCTACATTGACCCGACCGGGAATCGAACCCGGGACCTCAGAGATGGCGACGCCTTGAAAACCTCGTGCGAACCACGCTATGGACTGTTACTGCACATTTATAATAAATTAAG